CCAAAATAGTTCCTAGAGAATAGATTTTAGAAAAACATCCAATCTTGACTTAAAAATTGTCAGTGATGGAGAATCCACCATGACCCTTGGTAAATTGGTGCAATGGATAATTACTCTCAGCATTAAAAATTTACGCCTTACTTCTAGTCTGAATTTGTTTAGCTTCAACTTCCAGCTCTTGGATCATATTATACCTTTCTCTGCTAGATTGAAGAACCTGTAAATATTTGTTCCCCATGTAGATACTTGTAGATTGTAATAAAGTCACCCCTTAAGATTCTCTTTGTTAAGCTAAATAGTTTGTGCTCCTTCAGTCTGTCACTGTAAGGCAGGTTTTCTAATCCTTTAATCATTTTTGTGGGTCTTCTCTGAACCCTCTCCAATTTATCTTCTTGAATTGTGGGCACCAGAACTGGACACAGTATTCCAGCAATGCCAATATAAAGGAAAAATAACCTCTCTATTCCTACTCGAGATTCCCTTGTTATGCATCCCACGATCATATTAGGGATTTTTTTGGCCACAGCATCAGACTGGGAGCTCATGTTCAGCTGATTATCGACCGTGACCCCCAAATTTCTTTCAGAGTCGCTGCTTCCCAAGATTGAGTCCCCCCATTCTGTAAGTATGACCTACATTCTTTATTCCTAGATATAAATATATACATTTGTCCATATTCAAACAAATATTTTTGCTTGTTCCCATTTACCAAGTGATACAGATCACGCTGTATCAGTGACCTGTCTTCATTATTGAGCACTCCCCCAATTTTTATGTCATTTGCAAACTTCATCAGTGATGATTTTTTTCTTCTTCCAAGTAATTGATAAATACGTTAAATAGCATAGGGCCAAAAAACAAACCCGGCTGGATCCCACTGGAAGCACACCCACTCAATGATGATTCCCTGTTTACAATTACATATTAAGACCAATCTGTTATCCTATTTCCAATCCATGTGATGTGTGCCATGTTAATTTTGTATCATTCTAGTTTTTAATCAAAATATCGTGCAGTACAAAGTCAAATGCCTTACAGAAGTCTAAATATATTCTGTCAACAGTATTATCTCAATCACCCAAGCTTGTCATCTCATGAAAAAAAGATATCAAGTTAGTCTGGCAGGATACATTTTCCATAAACCCACGTGGATTTCCATTAATTACATTGTACTCCTTTAATTTTTCATTAATTGAGTCCCATATCAGCCACTTCATTATCTTTCCTGGGATCGATGTCAGGCTGAGAGAGGTCATCCCATTTACCTTTTTTAAAAACTGGCAAATTAGCTTTCTTCCACCCTTCTGGAACTTCCCCGGTGTGCCGAGACTTAGGGTAGGTATACACTATGGGACTAATTCGACATAAGTTCCGCAACTCCAGCTATGTGAATAACGTCGCAGGAATTGACGTACGTTAGGTCGACGTATTGCTGTGTATACACCGTGCTTCATCGACGGGAGAAACTCTCCCATCAACTTACCTTATGCTTCTCGTTCTGGTGGAGTACCGGAGTCAACAGGAGAGCGATCGGCAGCCGATTTAGTGGGTCTTCACTAGACCTGCTAAATCGACCCTCGGTGGATCGATCGCCATGTGTCAATCCCCCAGTAAGTGGATACAAGCCCTTACTGAAAATCAACATTACCGGTCCTGCGAGCTCCTCAGCCAGGTCTTTTAAAACTTTTTTATCCAGACCTGCTGATTTTCAAATGTCTAACTTTAGTAGCTTCTATTTAACATCCTCCAGAGATACTAGTGGACTTGAAAGTGTTATTGTCACCATATGATGAGATTATATCATCTGGTTTTTCCCCCCAAAAATACAGTTTCTGCACATGAGATTTCGCTCTATTTGTGTGGAAGAGTTGGGAAGATACTTTTTTGTATGAAAATTAGAGGCTGTGCAGATTAGAAAAGTGCCAGTTAATAAGAGGATTAACTATATATGGTAACAAAAGTTTTTTTGAATTGTCTTAATTCCATTGCGTTTTTACCAGCTATAACCTTTAGAGTTTTTCTGCAGCAACTTGAGGGTTTCCATATTATAATTATATGTGTGTTTATAAAGCCACGACCCATTATTTTGCACAAGACTAGCTTTTGTTAACTGACCTCACGTAGTTATTAGTACTCATCCACAAAATTAAGAGGAAAATAGAACATTTAGCTTACCCACAAGTATTAACTGTACTGTATGTACAGCAAAGGATAGAATTACCGTATTGTGTACATTTTTTCCTGTTAAAAGCCAAACTTACACACACAAAAACCAGAAAATGTACTGCAGTCAGAACGACAGATATACATTTTCATGACATATATATGGCCTGATCTTAAAGCCAAGCAGATCAACGGGAGGCTTGCCTTTGACGTCACTGGGATCCTGGTAGAGCTTTAGGAAAAGCATTTGCTGTGAAGAGAGATTTTGTTCATAATTCATATTAAGATGTAAACACACAGGGCTAAATCTTGAGCAGCAGTGAGTGCCCACAACTCCTCTTATTCCTCTGGGACCCTCAATGGGGCTTTTGTCATAAGGCAGCACCTTCAAGCTGTCTGAATTGTGTGATCCATCTGCTGTTGCACATCTTGGCTCAGAAAGAGCTGTGTCAGGTAGCCAAATATGTGTATACAAAATACAGGAAATACAGGAACCAGCTCTTCTTGTCAAGAGTAGTTAAATATTAACGACAGTGCCTGTCTGGCCTGGAGCTGGCAAGCTCATCAATACTAAACCTCATGAGTACGTGACCGAGGGTCATTTACCTCAACAGACATTAACAAGCTTTGATTGACTCATTCCTGAAAGGTGAAGGTTTGAATATTTAAAGTTGTAAAACATGTCCACACAGTATGAGGTCTCTTGTGCCACTGCATACTTTGGATTGGCTTGTACCTTGACACTGCTCTGAGTTACTGGAAATACTTGGATCCTCTTCAAACCAAGTAGCTTTTCCTCTGTCAGTTAGGCAAGAGCTGCATAAGATCACTTTTTTGTAATTCCTGGATTTACTGTACTTCCCGTACTGCACATGACTGTAATTACAGCGATGGGTCTCATTTATTTTGGGCTAGATTTTCACAGCACTGCCTGAGATGTGCAGAAGAGTGAGGAGAGCAGGAGGGAAGAAAGTTTGCCCACTCCCCTTACTGCCCTGCTGAGAGTGTGACCTCAGCTGTAGGGAGGAAAGCAGGGCTACTTGCCCACTACTTCTCACGGCAACCGTGTCAGTGGGCAGTGAGGGGCAGGAAGTGAGGGAAGCCCTGGCTCATGTCTTCTCCCAGATCCCGTGTCACCTACACGCTATTCAGAGTAGCTGGCTGGTTGCACAGGCCGGGAGTAGCCACATAAGGAATGAACTAACTTACTCCTCTCCCAGAACAAGGGGAAGCAGGGGAGGAATTGAGTCCTAACTTATCTGGTGTGCTGTTGTGGGGCAGCTCCGCGTTGCTTGTTCTCGTGGCTGATTGTAAGGTTACAATCTAGCCTTTGGATTTTTGATCCATAGAAACAATGGACCTTTTCCATTAGGTGGTTCACTGTCGCTAAAGCATTGCGCCATAGCATCTCGTGGTGGGATTAAAATAATATTGCTTTCATCGTCTACCCTAGTGAGCCTTCGGACATGTCCTGCTCTTGTATGTATTGTGGATATTTTTGTATCGAGATTACACTGATGCTGCCAAATTTATGCAGCAAGTTCATGATGTGGACAAATATCTGCTAAAGAACAGACGGGGACTATAAACACTTAATAATTATGAGCGAAATGCAATTGGAACTCAGATCTGGAGAGATTAATGAGCAGCACAGAAACCCAATAGGCGCTGCCTGATCTTCCTATACTATATTGCTCAAGTGAAGGGGCCTAATGCGCTGGTCGTGTCATTTACGTACACAGCATATGCCACAAGCAATGTGTTGTCAGAAGCCCTACACTATCTATCTCTGGCTATGTCTACAGCTGGCACTAGGAATGTGGCTCCTGGCTCGCGTAGCTTTGCTGGCACTGGCTCTTATCAAGTTAGCAGGCTAAAAATAGTAGCATAGCACAGGCTATGAACAACGGCATGGGCTAGCCACCCTGAATACATCCCCCAGGGTCCAAGAGGGGTTGTACTTGCTAGCCATGCTGCCACTGCCCACAATACAGCAGCTACGCTCCTACCTTTAGCATGGTAGCTTGATGAGAGCTAGCCCAAATATGTCGGTGTGAGGTGGGAATCTCACCTCTAGCCCCAAGAGTAGACTCCCTCTCCATTTATCTGTCGGTATAATCAATCTTTTGGAAATGCTCTGAGTAAAACACAAAATGAAGGAAAGGAAAATTTGGGCCTGGAATTTTGCCTGTATTTGGAACTGCCAGATCAGGCCATTGTTTTAGGTGAGAAGGAAAGCAAAATTGGACCATGCTGTGAGTCCTAGGGAACTGATTCTCCCCCTGCAGAATACGGGTACCCGGTTAGAGGCGAATCTGAGGATTTGGAAGTGGGTTCATTTCCAGGTGGATTCTCTGAGATACTGGGATTGTGTCAGAGTGTAACCTAGTAGTATGGGAGGAGAGAAATGAAATAGAACACATGTAAAACAGGCAGACATTTTCATCCTGCATGAACGCCTTCAGATCCATGTTGTGATATATTCCCTAGGGGGGTTGGACTAGATAACCTCCTGAGGCCCCTTCCAACCCTGATATTCTATAATTCTATGAATTCACACCAAAAAGTTCTATTCATGTCAGTGGAGCTGACAATGCAGAGAAGCAGGCTTTGGTGCTGTATCTACTCTTGAGCCTTTATTTTGCATTTCCTATTGCCTCTGAAGTATACTAATACCTACCTTAGACAAAATTGCCCGTAATGGGAGACAACACTTCCTTAATCCTTCTTATACAGAACCTTTCTTCACAAAGGGTGAGAGTAGCATGCTTGGTTGCTTAGACTAGCCATTGCAGTTCTTCCTAATCAGCGTGTCAATATTCTCTCTTTGTTGCCAGAAGGAGGAACGTGTGAAGTTATAGCAGCACACAGATGCTGTAATAAGAATCGAATTGAGGAAAGATCACAAACAGTAAAATGCTCCTGCCTCCCTGGGAAAGTGGCCGGGACAACACGAAACAGACCTTCCTGTGTCGACGGCAAGTAGCTCATCCCGTATATGTGTGAACTGAATATGTAACATCCAGTATATACCTAACACTATATATGTTATGTAGCAAACATACTTGTATTCTCTGGTTTAGCTTTTTAGGAAAAGATAAACTATAAGCATAAATGGTTGACCGAGGAGATGGCCTTTTACATCACCAGTATACCTTGACTTCCACCTTAGAGCCTGATTCTGCAATCCTTACCCAGTTTAAAAAGGATTTACTTACACTAATAGTCACATTACAGTCTGTGGGGCTACTCACATAAATACAGCAAACCTGGTGACAAGAGCGAGCCCTTAGCAAACAATGGGCAAAAACTCTCCTTTGTGTCTCTCTATTGGGCCCTCTCATGTCTCCATGGCTGTGATTCAGAAATATTTCAGGTGACAACAATAAGTTGTTCTGATTCAATTTCTGGTTTTAAAAAGTCAGCCCAAAAAATCCAGTGATCTGATTTTTGTAATAAGCATTGTGTAAAGACGAACAAAAACTGCAAAGCTGATTTTTGGTTCTGAAAAAAAACGACATTTCTGAATAGATCCAACATTGGCCCCGCTCTTCTGAAAGCTTCAGGGCAGAATCTTGTCGTGCATGGTTTTCTTTGCAAGACAAAACTAAAACGTGGGGTGAGTCACATCTGTGTCCCATTTTTATCTGAATGTCAGTACTCTGGGGTTCTGATTCTGTGGCTATCTTTATTATTCCAATGGTGAAATAAATATACACATGTTCATTGGAGACTTCTCTTTATGGTTCACGTAATCCTAATTGAACATTAGTGAGGTGTACAAATGTGCACCAAGTAGAGAATATACCCTGCTGTTTGGAAATGGTTATCCAAATTAAATGTCTTCATATTATGGCTTTAAGAAGCTATTGACTTTAGTGGGACTAATCTTTGGTTTTATTTCCCCCACACACTGATAAGTGATGTCTGATCAGTAGCATCTTTGTGTAGCAGCCCTATTAAATGGGCTTGGATTTTAAATGTTCCTTTTCTCATCTCTATTTTGTGGAAATGATCTGGTAGCACCATTGACTGTAACCCCCTGGGGTGCCAAAAGTCATTAAGAGCTCAAGTTTGCCTTTTCTGTTTGAATGGGATTGAACATCCCTCTGCCTCAGCTTCCTGCAAGTAGCAGGACCCAGCAGCGTTGCTGCACAGTTGATTTGTCAACGCATCTTTTGTTTCCTATTCGGATTCCCATTTTAAAGAGGCAGCCTTCCATCAGAAAGAGAGACGCGCACCCGGACATTTGAAAACCCGCTTCCCTCAGTCAGGTGCAGCAACATTTTCAAAGGCACTGCCAACAGAGCAACAGCTGTGCCAATTTTCATTGAAGGTTAGATGAAAGTTCCTGTTGGCTTTATGGGCTGCAAAACCATTGCAGCCAGAAGCCTGTGCTGGCGTCAGTTCCTAGTAAGTAGATAGAAAAATATGGTGTACGTCAGAGGGATGGAATCTTACAATGTTCTCAACTGCTGTTCAATGGCGTGCATGTGTGTGGATCTATCTAGTTTGTATGTTGAAATATAAAGAAAAACATCTTATAATTGCAAAAAGACACTTTAGGTGTTAAATTATGGGGCAATAATTCACAGCTTGTTACAACTGGAAATGCCATTCAGTCCCTGGAATCCTGCCTCCGAATGCACTACAGTAGCTGTGAATTAATACACTTTAATTCACAAGCTGACACATTTTATTGCTTAATTATTCTGATACAAAGAATTTTATTAAACAAAAAAAAGTCATGAATCTGTAGGTGATATCTTTTGTTGGGCCTAACTAAAAACAAACTGGGTAAGCTTTGGAGAGTCACATTTTCTTCATTAGGTCGGGTCCTGAAAATCTAGAGCCAATAGATACAGCAGAGTGGCAGTGTTAATTCAGACCTGGTAATTCTATTCCGAGAACAGCAGCTCCAAGGGGAATTACGTTTAAAAAAAAAAAAAAAAAATCAGTGCAGGTATGGACTCGAGTCCCTCTCCTTAATAGCTGTCTCTGGATTACAATGAAAACAAATGTTATCAATTGGCGTTTTGAAAGGGGAAAAGATTAAACAAAGGCTACTATCAGAAAGGCATGTGATCCCGCACTCATTGAAGTCAGGGGCAAGAGTCTCATTGACTTCAAAGGAACTTCTTCCCCTTTTCAGTTTAATTGTTGTAATCAAGACATGGGTTCTTTTGTCAATGGTTGGTGATTGGTTAGAAAGCCAAGACCCTGTTCACAAAAATTAAGGGGCATTCTTTTTACGCTTAGTTTAATCTTCACGCTTTGTTTTAGGCCTGGTCTACACTAGGCTTTTATGTCGAATTTAGCGCCGTTATATCGAATTAACCCTGCACCCGTCCACACCAGGAAGCCATTTAGTTCGACATAGAGCTCTCTTTAAATCGATTTCTGTAATCCTCCCCAACGAGAGGAGTAGCGCTAAATTCGACATGGCCATGTCGAATTAGGCTAGGTGTGGATGGAAATCGACGCTAATAGCTCCGGGAGCTATCCCACAGTGCACCACTCTGTTGACGCTCTGGACAGCAGTCCGAGCTCGGATGCTCTGACCAGCCACTCCCCCGGGAAAATTTGAATTCCTTTTCCTGTCTGGGCAGTTTGAAGCGCAGTTTCTGTTTGGACACCGTGGTGAGCTCAGCAGCAGTGGCAACGATGCAGAGCTCTCCAGCAGAGATGGCCGTGCAATCCAATAGAAAGAGGGCCCCAGCATGGACGGATCGGGAAGTCTTGGATCTCATCGCAGTGTGGGGCGATGAGTCCGTGCTTTCGGAGCTGCGCTCCAAAAGACGGAATGCAAAGATCTATGAGAAGATCTCTAAAGCCATGGCAGAGAGAGGCTACAGCCGGGATGCAACGCAGTGCCGCGTGAAAATCAAGGAGCTGAGACAAGGCTACCAGAAGACCAAAGAGGCAAACGGACGCTCTGGATCCCAGCCCCACACATCCCGTTTCTACGAGGCACTGCATTCCATCCTAGGTGCGGCCGCCACCACCACCCCACCCCTGACCGTGGACTCTGAGGATGGGATATTGTCCGCGGCCGGTTCCTCAGCGGACGGGGAAGAGGAGGAAGGAGATGAGGAGGACGAGGCAGTAGACAGCGCTTACAACGCTGATTTGCCCGACAGCCAGGAGCTCTTCATCACCCTGACAGAGATCCCCTACCAACCCTCCCCAGCCGTTACCCCAGACACAGATTCAGGGGACGGATCAAGCAGTAAGTGTTTTAAATATCTAAACTTTTATTTACAACATAACTGGCGTATTTAAAATATTAACATTAGCTAAAGTGCTTTAAAACATGTAAACATTTATTTGCAACAAAACAGGAAGATTGAAAATATGAACAGTGGGTAAAGTGCTTCAAAACATGTAAACAGTAAAGTCAAACAAAAGGGGAATCAGTGCAAAGTGTATCATGATTTGTCTTTTTTTGGGCGCCTCAATATATAGTCCGAACCATTTTCAAAAAATTGCACAATGTCCGCTTCATGATTATAGTGCCCAAAACCCTGCAATCATTTGTCCCTCCAAGGGCACCTAAGCCAGGAACTGGTCAATGTAACCGGGGATAGAGGCGAGATCCTCCGGGGAGAACTCCTCATACACCTCCTGCAGGTGTTTTTCCAGCCTCATCAGCAGGTTCCTGGGCAGGGAGAGCTTATTAGGCCCCCCGTGGTAGGACACGTTTCCCTGCCACAACGCCAGCAGGTACTCCGGGATCATGGCCTTGCACAGCAGTGCAGCAAATGGCCCCGGTTTCTGCAGGCTGTCCCGGAGCATCTTCTCCTTCTGGCTCTCGGAGACCTTCAGGAGGGTGATGTCTGGCATGACTCCCTGCTGTGAATTAGATAGGGGAAAGTTAGTATTGGGACTGCTTGCCCGTCCCTTTATAGAACTGCAACCGCCGGTTTACAGCCACGCGGTTTACAGCCGCGAGGGGGTGGGACAGGGCCAGAGTTCATGCTTGCAGGATTGCTGCCAGCAGAGACTCGCATTGCTTTCTATGTGAAAGGAGGCCAGTGCCACTCTAAGTTTTAAGCGGCCACAAGTCTACGGCTTACCATGTTTGCCAGCTAGACAAAGTCCGGTGTCCAGCCCTGCTCCTCAGCTCGCCACAGCAAGACCGCAGGCACTGTAGGCGAGGGCCGAAAATTCGACCTAGTCCTCAGTGCGCGTGTGATAGGTGCTCTGCATGGTCTTGTTGACAGAGAAAGACTATGTTCTCTGTTCACAGATACATTGCTCTGTCTCAGGAATTCACTCCCTTTTTCCAATTCCCACAGCCACATCTGCCCAGAGGCTAGCGCACATTAGGAGGAGGAAGAAGAGGACACGGGAAGACATGTTTGCTGAACTAATGGAATGCTCCCGAGCACAGGCAGCCCAGCAGACACAGTGGAGGGAGAACTTGTCCCAAATGCACCGGGCAAACATGGAACGGGAGGAGAGGTGGCGACAGGAGGACAGGCAGGCTACTCAAACGCTGCTTGGACTAATGAGGGAGCAAACGGACACGCTCCGCCGCCTTGTGGATGTTCTGCAGGACCGGAGGCAGGAGGAGAGAGCCCCGCTGCAGTCTCTCTGTAACTGCCCTGCCCCGCCACCAAGTCCCATACCCCCCTCACCCAAAGTCCAAACACGGAGGGGTGGAAGGGGCCGTGAAAAATTTCACTCCACCCCTGCGGACTGCTCTACCACTAGAAGGCTCTCATTCCCCAAAATTTGAAAAGTCCTTTCCTACCCGCCACACACAAGACCCCGTCCAAGTTTCACCCCCCCGTTCCATGTGCGGTTGTTAATAAAGAATACGTTTCTGTTCATTTCTGTTTCCATCCTCTTCTTTTGGAGGGGAGTCTGTCTGAAGGGGGGGGGGAAGGGGCTTGGTCATTGGACAGGACAGTCACCTTTAGCAGAGGGCAGGTGCAGCAGCAGGGCACATATACAGTGCAGTGACTAGTTATCCTGGTCAGT